AAGTTAGCCGTATGTCGACTATTGTGGCCGAAGCCCAGGGTTCCATTTTGTCATAGGGTGCTGGCAGATTACGGGCCTCCCATTGCTGCTGCCAGGCCCGTAATCTGTCATGGGCCCCCGTACCGCCTCCTCATGCTGCTGCCAGGCCCGTAATCTGTCATGGGCCCCTGTACCGCCTCCTCATGCTGCTGCCAGGCCCGTAATCTGTCATGGGCCCCTGTACCGCCTCCTCATGCTGCTGCCAGGTCCAGAGTGTGTCATGGGTCCCTGTACGGCCTCCCATTGCTGCTGCCAGGCCCGTAATCTGCCATGGGCCCCGTACCGACTCCTCATGCTGCTGCCAGGCCCGTAATCTGTCATGGGCCCCTGTACCGCCTCCTCATGCTGCTGCCAGGTCCAGACTGTGTCATGGGTCCCTGTACGGCCTCCCATTGCTGCTGCCAGGCCCGTAATATGCCATGGGCCCCCGTACCGACTCCTCATGCTGCTGCCAGGCCCGAAATCTGTCATGGGCCCCTGTACCGCCTCCTCATGCTGCTGCCAGGTCCAGAGTGTGTCATGGGTCCCTGTACGGCCTCCCATTGCTGCTGTCTCTATCGCCACACTCTGCCATGTGCCACTTTCAGGTCTCCTCACACTGCTGGTGGGTTCCATTTTGTCATAGGGTGCTGTATGGCCTCCCATTGCTGCTGCCAGGCCCGTAATCTGCCATGGGCCCCCGTACCGACTCCTCATGCTGCTGCCAGGCCCGTAATCTGTCATGGGCCCCTGTACCGCCTACTCATGCTGCTGCCAGGTCCAGAGTGTGTCATGGGTCCCTGTATGGCCTCCCATTGCTGCTGCCAGGCCCGTAATCTGCCATGGGCCCCCGTACCGACTCCTCATGCTGCTGCCAGGCCCGTAATCTGCCATGGGCCCCTGTACCGCCTCCTCATGCTGCTGCCAGGTCCAGAGTGTGTCATGGGTCCCTGTACGGCCTCCCATTGCTGCTGTCTCCATCGCCACACTCTGCCATGTGCCACTTTCAGGTCTCCTCACACTGCTGGTGGGTTCCATTTTGTCATAGGGTGCTGTACGGCCTCCCATTGCTGCTGCCAGGCCCGTAATCTGCCATGGGCCCCCGTACCGACTCCTCATGCTGCTGCCAGGCCCGTAATCTGTCATGGGCCCCTGTACCGCCTCCTCATTCTGCTGCCAGGTCCAGAGTGTTTCATGGGTCCCTGTACGGCCTCCCATTGCTGCTGTCTCCATCGCCACACTCTGCCATGTGCCACTTTCAGGTCTCCTCACACTGCTGGTGGGTTCCATTTTGTCATAGGGTGCTGTATGGCCTCCCATTGCTGCTGCCAGGCCCGTAATCTGCCATGGGCCCCCGTACCGACTCCTCATGCTGCTGCCAGGCCCGTAATCTGCCATGGGCCCCTGTACCGCCTCCTCATGCTGCTGCCAGGTCCAGAGTGTGTCATGGGTCCCTGTACGGCCTCCCATTGCTGCTGTCTCCATCGCCACACTCTGCCATGTGCCACTTTCAGGTCTCCTCACACTGCTGGTGGGTTCCATTTTGTCATAGGGTGCTGTATGGCCTCCCATTGCTGCTGCCTCCACCGCCACACTGTGGCTCCACACTCTGGTTTTGGCCCCGTGACTGCCCAAATGAGTGAAGTGTGCGGTGATTCTAAGATCGACGGCACTCATCTGCATGTCATACTGACTGACAGTATTATTTCTCTTCCCCAGCAGACTCCAAGGGCATTTAAATTAAAGGTACAGTGTTCTGCACTAATATAAAGGCTCTCTGAAGCCTAGAAACACCCTTTTATAAGTTAAATTCGCAGCGAATATATTCGACTCGAAACGATTTTTTTCCACGAATTCGCCGAATCAGTCGAATCGAATTTTTGAATAATTAGCTCATCTCTAATTATAAAGCTTCCTAGTGCCACATCCTAAAAATGTAAGGAAAAAAATTGCTGGACAAAAATTGTACAGCCAAACTAGCGGATATTTTAGGCACAGTGAGAGACCACACTATCATATAAAAATGTACAAGAAATGGTAAAAAGCGCCTTAGTAAAATTCAACAAGCTGCTATGCACAAGATAGGTACCAATGACCTATAGAATAGACAATATATGTATATGAAAGGTGCAGCGCTATATAAATATATATGCTAAAGTCCCTGGTAGATCAAAAAATATATATATTGGGTAGTCCCGTAAATAAATATAAATAGTTGAGGTGACTTTGATATCCCTGTAGAGGTGGTAATGAATATTAAATGCACCTTGTATATAATTATCCTGCTGCCAGGTGGTGGGCGGTCTTCCCTCTATCGGATCCTAGGTAAGTAGTCCTTCTCCTCTAGAGGTCCCCTTGTGTGGTCCTAGTGGATGTTGTCACTACAAATGGCCTGGGTGGTGAGTAGTGATCCGTTCTTGGAGTGGGTCTGTGGGCTAGAGCACTCCCCCAGGGGGCGACAAGAACACTCCCATAGTGTAGTAAGTTAAACCTCAAATTTATTAATTTAAACATGGTGTATCAGGTAAAAAGAATATTTATACAGCGTTGCAGACAGTAGTCTGTAAAGGAACTGACCAGCTGGTAATAAAAGATGGCCGTCGGAGCTCCACGTTGCTCCGGCGGCGTGACGTCACAGCGTGGTGTGGCTCCTCCTGACGCGTATCGTGCTCAAGCACGTCTTCAGAGGGGGGGTCGCCAATCACGTCGTGTCGTCCGCCGTTCGCATTTATAGATGATCTCGCACATGCGCAGTGGACCGTGGCCATTTTGCAATAGCACAGAGCGAACTGTGCATGCACGGGAGTTACGGGCGCCATTTTTCCTTGGTCCCATGGTATGAAAAAACAGACTGAATGTCTGTGTGTTCCCCAACAGGGATAAGTTGTTTGGTAGAGTTCAGCCTCCTCTCATATTAGTCAAAGGACACAATAGGACTTAATGAAACAGACTGAGTGCCTGTATATTATCCATGGGGATATATTAATGGGTTTAAATAGGGGAGAACTCCAGCGCCATCTAGTGTTAGTGATGAACAGAACAGGTTTATATCCTGAGTGACTATATTAAGTAATACAATTAATAAAACTGGTCTATCTTTTGGATAGTTGAACCAGTGACGATAAAAAGGTATGATGTTAAAAAATGGAGGGCCTAGGAGATGTTTATTATAAAAAATTATGACGAAAAGTATATAACCCATTTCCCATGGACTTAGGGTCAGTGCGCATGTACGAATATCATCACCACACAATACAGTAATATTAATATAATAAAAACAACCTTATCAACACATATCTCCTATGGAGAGACACAGTGTGACTATTCCTCATAGCCAAGGAGATAAAAATATATATGTAAAAAATCCATTAATATGTTATACAAAAATAAATAAGGATATTGTATGGATAAGAAGTTAATATGTAAAACCTACAAGAGCAGATTAGGAATAAGAATGCATAGTAATCCCATTGAAATCCTATATAATGGGTTGACATATTGAAAAATCATCACACTATGCCTGAGCCATAGTATGTAATATACATAAAAATCTTAGAGGATTACCATATAAAATGGATGACTTAAAATAAATAAAAATTAGAATTAAAATTAAGAGTGCATATACAGGTTGGATGGTATCTAATTATTTTCAATGAAACAGTTAATATCGACCTCGATATTGAGGCCATTGGGTTTTAAAGAGCGGAGCTCATATATCCATTTCATTTCTAATTGTGAGACAGCCCGTCTCTTATTTATTCCTCTCCAGTGGGGTTTGATTACATCAATGCCCGCAAATTTCAAAGAGGTGGGGTCCATGTTATGAAATCTCTTGTAATGGTTAGAGACTGAGTGTTCTTTGTATCCCCGCTTAATGTTATTGACATGTTCTCGCAGCCTGTCCCTAAGCCGCCTGGTGGTACGTCCAATGTACTGCAGCTTACATGGACATTCCAGTAAATAGACAACGAACTTACTGTTACATGTAATAAATTTGTCTGTTATACCTCTTTCCAGTTACTTGTGAGGTAAAAGTAGTTTGTCTATGCTTCCTAGTGTTGTCACATTTACAGATTATACACTTGTTGCACGGATGATACCCCTTAAGGTCGCTAAACAAAGAAATTTCTTTGGGTGGGTCAATCACATTGGGCGCCAAGTAATGCCTTGGATTAGTGGCCTTGCGAAATATTATTTCTGGTTTCCCCGGTAGAACTTTAGACAGTATCGGGTCTGCCAGCAGGACCTTCCAATTTTTCTAGAGGGAGGGAAGACCGCCCACCACCTGGCAGCAGGATAATTATATACAAGGCGCATTTAATATGCGCGTCTGGTGAGTGCGCATTTCATTACCACCTCTACACGGATATCAAAGTCACCTCAACTATTTATATTTATTTACGGGACTACCCAATATATATATATTTTTTGATCTACCAGGGACTTATATATATCATATAAAAATATCACAGTTTATTAACATAATCACAAAAAGAATTTTTTAGAACAAGAAATACACAACCCCCTAACACAACGGGGGGGGGGGGGGGTTGTGGTACATCGCCTATTACTTACATATGACGCATAGCATGTCACGTATAGCATGGATGTTGATTTCAAAAAGAGTAAGTCAGAAATAGAAAATGGTCAACGCGTTTCGCCTATATATCTGGCTTCTTCAGGTCCGTAACTTCTGTGTAAGGGAGAGCAGTATTACTATATATACAATATAGAGAGGACAAGCAATATATACACAATCAATTATATGCAACAAAGTAAAAAATATATATAATAGACAAAACCAATCATTAGGCTTACATAGGAACGTGACAGCCAGTGATATCTAGTCTGGGGAGTGGACATAGGAGACCCGAGTGCGCAGCACAGGCAACAGACCTGGGAACTCGATAGTATATAACTGAGTCCTATAAAAAGAAGCACATAGAGCCACCAGCAAATAGTATAGTTGTGTTGTAAATCTAAATATACTAATTAACGAATGCTTAGGCCAAATATATGGACTCGTACTCACAATGATCATAGATTGTGCCCACATACAGCTAGAACAGTAAAGACTCAAAACGTAGAAGCTGGAGGCAATGTGGGATAAGGATCAAAAGGGCGTTGGCAAGCCTAAAGAAAATGACCATATATAAGATATGGGCTAAACCCGGATTAAAGCCGTGTATTATATATCAAAAAAGACTGCAAACTTACTGGTGGCTGGACGACATTAGGGAACTGGTCTAATGGGCAGACAATATATACTCCAATTTATAAACTTCCGGATCAAGGAACCAAAGTCATGATAAGGCAGGAGCCCAGCACCTATAGTGGTGCATATGAAAAATGTCACCTATAATGAAATAAAACAAAATAAAACGCTCAGGGGATGTACAGGAGACGTATAAAAAACATGGCTCACTATATATGTGTTACTAAACATAATACTACACCTTCTTTTTGAGCATCAGGGGTGATCCAGATGGACAGGCAATGTAAACCATTTATATTTCCGCATGCTCCTCAGATTATTAGTGGTTATTGATCAGCAAGTTGATTTGCCCCAACCAGAATTGGTACCGCAGCAAGTAGGGTTGTCACCTCATCCCTTTAAAACCAAACAAATATTAATGACACTCAGGTTCTGAGGATAATTTATTGCAGATAAGGTACTACGTGGGTTTAATTACCCCCTTAATCAGCCACAGAACCTGTGTAATTAATATGTGTTAGGGTTTAAAGGGATGAGGTGGCAACCCTAGCAACAAGGCATTTCACAGGAAGGTGACTGTCATGTACATTTTGCATCCACATGCCTACAGTATTCAGTGGGCCCCCCATAAACCATTGCATGCTCTCTGCACCTCCATTGGT